TCCATACATTGATTCAAACCGATTCAATATCAAAGCTTATGAAAAATCCTATTACATGGTGTAGACCAGCCCGAACTTCCTCCGCGTGCCCCTCTTTCGAAGAGGGCACGGATTTGGGTTCATAGCTACTACAGTTTGTACTCCTGTCGTGGTTCTGAATCTAATCTCATAAAGTGCAATGTGAGATTGATAAACACCAAAGAGTCCAAATCTGGCCAATCGTTTTGGAAAATCAATTTTGAATAAAAAAGTGCCAAACATGGACTGTTTTGCCAGATTACAGAGTCGCCACCTAAATATTTTATTTTGGAAAATTTAGGAAACCCTGACTCATGCCTAAGGCAATGTGTTCGTCATCACCAAAGTTGCCTCGGCTCGGGAACTTGGGTACGAAGGGGGATGGTCATGAAATGAGCACCCCCGCTCGCCCGATCAAAGGATCGGCCTCTACTAAGCATGATATGTTGTTTTATAAACCATGTGTTCTTATTCCATTTATTAGCTAATCTTACTATGTGATGCGCATAGCATACAAGTATAGACTCGATCACTAGAATTGGAACAAAACAACTCATGTTTGTTTTCAAAAATGGTTTGAAAGTGCTACTCGCAAGTAGGCTAAAGCGCGGATTTGCCACCCTCAAGTGGGCTTGAAAATAAGATTTTGCCACTTCGCAAAGTGGGCTGAAAACTGGCATTTGATGAATTGTCCTAATTCAAGCAATCAAGCCTCCACCACAGGCATTCAAGCAGTTTAGCATTTAAGCAAATAGCCTCATGGCAAGCATGCTATCATGGCAACACTCACACTCATGCAAGGATGCTAAAGCGTAAACACTTACAGTGTACTCCAAGCCAAAACAGAAAGCTAGTTAGAAATCATGCATGATCCTAGCTATGTTAAAAATCCTAATGCAACACATGCAAAAATGCAACTAAATAGGCTCGGCCATCTAAGATGGCATATGAATACAACGATTGATACACGTATTCAAATATGAATTGAAATACGATGCAATTTGAATGATGCGTCGAGCTCGGTGCATGCAAGACAAATGAATGATGCACGCATGCAAGCATAAGGTATGCTAATTGAAATATGCCCTAATCTAACCGTCGAAAGCGGTTAGATAAAAGGGTGAAAGACGTGGGGTTAGAAGACATGCACACACACACGCACGCTTATTACAACATTATGCCCCTCGAATGAGGGTCCGAATAAATAAGCTAACTAGCTATGCTAAGCTACTTATTACAAACCAACTAATGAACTAACTATTCTAGCTAATTAATTATTACAAATCGATTTGAATAACTAGCTATACTAAGCTAATTAGAATATTACAAAATGAATTAAGCTAAATTAATTACAACACATGTAATTAACTACAACTAGCTAATAAAGCGATAAGGATGGCCTCGCAGACGAGGGAGGCATGCATGCTTGGTCGCGTCTTCCCGGAAATCCACTACCTTGCCTCTAAATGCCTCTGTTTGCACTCTTTTGACTTCTGAAAATTGTGCCAACCTCCAGATTGCTTCTGTTTGATCCCAGGAACATGCTGATGAACTGATCGGCTAGAAGTGATGGCCATCGACTAGTATTGATGGCCGATCGGCTGGCTTGGGTGGCCGGTCGGCTAGGGCATGTGGCCGATCGGCCACTGATTCCTGCAATTTCTCCTTTTGCTGCAACAGAGAGCAAACAAAGGCATGACAGTGTATTTACAAGGAAATGTATGTACTGCCACCTTCCTTATCATGTCTCAAGCTCAAAGGAGTGTGGCACTTGGCTCTCAAGCCACTAACTAAGCATTTACAATGCGTTGTGGCCAAAGAACCAAGCTTGTATAAGCTTAGTGAATGCGCACATAAGACTCGAAAGGCCGCCACCCTATCATGTATGATCAAGGGTGACAACGACCAAGAATTGTGACACGTTTCATCACTTTAAGTATGAAACGTCCCACATTTCTAGTGTTTGGATTAACGTCTGATCCAAACACATGCAATGTAAACAACATGCTTATCTTTCATAAATTTTACTTTGCTCATTTTGTTTACACATTTTAGCTTACCAATTAGTCCTTTAACTAGTTAAGTTCAATGTGAAAGTCCTCTAATGAGAGAGATGGCCTAAGCCACAAGCACCTTGAGCATGAAAGAAGCCTCATGCTTTTGGTTAGTAGAAACCCTCAAGAGAAAGCTAAAATCATTTGGCATGAGAGCCTCAATTCCATGCTCAAGCCAATAAGGGGCTAAAGACTTCTTTCAAAGTGAATGAAAGAGTGAAACAATGGAGTGCAATGGCATATATTTCAGCACAGAAATGACATGCTAAATGACTTAAAATCATGCAAACAAACCATGCACAATATGTTAAAAGTCAAAAGCATTGAAACTAGTGAAGGACACAACACTAGAGGTATGCAATACAAAGCTCGAATGACCAAATCAGCTATGGACAGACCTAAAACATGCCAAATCAGTGGCCTAATCATGCTGAAACTTAGGCACAAAAAGCAAGAAAAATAAGCTCGCATGTTGGCTCACAAACAAGACACAAAGCGCAACTCTCAAAAGTATTGAAAGAGTGGGATATGTGAGAGTGTGACAATGATATATGCTCTAAAATTACATGCTAAATGAAGCTATGGCATGCAAACAATTCAAGCAAAGCATGCTAGATGTCTTGAATCACAAAGCTAGTGAAGGCCAACTACACTATAGTTATACAAGGCAAAGCACATATGTCCAAGGCCACTCGAAACAGAGCTTAATCATGCTAAAACATTAGCAAAAATGTGCTGAAGTTGAGCTAATATAAGATAGAATGATAGGCATACTCATTATGCATATTAGGCTAGTAAGCAAAATTACACTACATGTGCAAGATGCAAGCAACAAGTGACCAAACTAGCCAAAAACAGAGTTAGAGCAGGTCTAAAAAGTCACAAAAACATACTTGAAATGAGCTAACACAAGCCACAAAATTATGCTACTTTGTAGTGCTAACAAGGCATGGCACAGAGAGACAAGGAGGGGAGGCCATCCCTTCTCATTATGGGCCTCAAAACAGTGGTTTTAAGGTCAAAAAGAGATTGTTTGAAAAGCTTGAAATATAGCTCAAAAGGCTTTACAAGCCAAAGAGCAAAAGGAAGGAAACACCCCCTAACCAAACAAGGCTTAAACCACCATTTTTAGGACTGAAAAACAGAGTTTTCTTTAGTTCAAAACCAAGCCAAAAACAGTTTGCAAAGGTGGCAAAACAAGTGTGCAAGACAAGCTTAAAAGGGACAAGTGCTTACCCTTGAAGCACAAACAAGACAGGTGCAAATCTGAGCCAAAACCAGCTTTGAGAGCTCAAATAGGACCTCCAAGAACCTCAGCAACAAGGTAGAGGTGTTTGGTCTAGGGTCTCTTTGCAAGAGTGTAGGAAATTCTCACTTCAAAGCACAATATAGGAAGAGAGAGAGGCTTCTAGAGA